CGGGCTGCAGTGCCGAGTGTTTATACTGCAAGAAGACATTGAGGTCCAGGGTCCAGGGTCCTGCTCCCAAGGCTGCAATTACAGTCGAAGCGTACGCGTCGATGCGTTTATATGAGCAACAAGAGACGTCACGTCAGTGTATGCAGCGCCTCGGGCTTAGCAGTTGTCTACACAATAGGAAGGGTACAGTAACCGTCTTCGCAAAGACGCTCGGTCCCGTCTGTAGGACAGCAGGGAAGGCCGTTGTCGTCGTGTTATTAAGAATGCGGGTCATTTGGGAAAGATGGCGGCAACATTTCGTTGCATCCCATCAAACAGGGACTGACGGTGGACCGACCATAATGCCTTAACCTACTACCACTCCTCCGGTCAGGATTCCATGATCATTTATTGGTTAATCAAACACACCTGTCTCTCATCCGCTCGCTGTTCGGACTCCGGCATCATGTCTTTATTTTATCTTTCACATGTGATGCTTACGAGATTGCAAGGAAAAAGCCTGCAGGAGGTGACATAAACTACCAGTACATTGACTATTTTCTGCTTTCTCAGCACTCCCCGCTTGCTTATGATGAAGCAATGACTTTCGAAAGATGAATGCCTACCCAGCTGTTCTTCCTGGATGGAATAAACCTTGAGGGTTACTCTTTCATCCTGGAAAGATAGTACGGCATGGTTAATTTGCATGTGATATAATGGTCTAGCACAGATGGCTCGTCGAACCTCCTTAGATACATATTTACCTAGAGGTGTTGTTGTTGGAACGCAGAGCAAGAATGCTGCATTGGAGCTGTACTAAGCGACGATGACGTGACCGTGAAGCATTGGCAAAAGGAGCCTATCGTGGTGTCGTGCAGGTTGGATGTAGGTATCGTATCAAAGCTGAGAAGGTGTGGTGTTGGGTGTACCTACCTCAAGGCAGGCACAAGTTCAGTGTAAAGGTATATGTACGTACCTACCTACCTCATTGTAAAGTGACAACCAATCACTGAAGATCAGACAGCTACATAAACCCCCTTACCACGAGGCTCTTTCGGGAACCCGGGGATGACAACTCAGAGCCTTCAGTTTGGGGGGCGGTGGTGTAGTGGTTGAGGTGTAAGACCGGTGGCAACCTCCCCTAACCCACCTTCCCGCAATCTGAAGGCTTAGCAGTTCGACTCGGGGTAGGGCTCTAGATGGGTGGTAAATATGTTTTTTTCCCCTCTTTCTATGTAAGCAACTTTCGAACTCCAAATACCGACATCATGGTTCATAAATCACGAGATAAGAGCCAACCTAGCAGAGATTTGCACCGTACTTCAACTCAGAACCTTTTATAAAAACTTAGAAAATTTGCCTGTCGACACGCATATCTCCTAGACTGGGTTATGCCGAATTGTGTTATCATGGCCCAACTAATATAGGTCCCTTCGCCCAAGGTCACACCACCACAACCAAATGGCAGCACACCATCAAAATAGAGAGTGACACCATGGCCTACAATTCCTCGGTGCCTGGTAGCGACCGGTGTCGGGGTGGCCTTCTTACGTGACATAATAGCAGATAGTCGAATTCGATCGGATGTTAAGTCTACCTAGACCCATGTCGAATGGGTTTGAATTCGCCCCAATTTTTGGCTCAATTAGTCTCGCTTGCCCTTCAAATTATTTACCTCACCAATGGCGTCCCGGAAGGCAGCTATACAGGGTCAGCTCGAATTCGAGGCGCGTTGGGTGCGGATACATACTTCCTGTGCGGTAAAACTCCTTGAGTTTGTCATTGTCCTCCCGATCTAGCCGGGCAGCAGCGCGAGCGGCAACGAATGCCTTGTACAGGCCTTCCTGCTCGGCGTTGAAGTCCAACTGCTCGAATTAGCGGCGAACTGGAAGCAGACACGATACGAAGTTACAGGCAGGCAACCGCCGTGAGAGCCCCGCTTGCGCGCCTTAACGCAGTACACGCAGTTATGGCTGGACGCTTTGGCGCTGTCTGCGCAGAAATTGTCAAGTTAAAGCGAAGGTGACGATGCTGGATATGGGGGTCTTGTGAGTGTAGGTAAGCCAGCACGTCCGGCGTCTGCACGAATTTTTCTCGGCATTTGCGCTCGCTGAAGAGTGTTTTCTCGTTGATGTGATTATTCAAAGCACCCCTTCGTACCACTGGAGCGGAGATATGAATCCTTTGGGCGTAACTGGGGTGACGCTTGTGTCACAGTCGGAGAATCGGCAGACGCAGGTCTCGTAACGTTTGTCGGTTCGACCAGCTGCTGAGGCAATGCAGTTTCTTTGGACATGGGCGAACGCAAATCGGAGCAAGTTTTGGATACTAGCGTTACAATATTAGAGTTAGCCGTGCGGTCCCGGTTTGGTCAAGGCCACAGAGAGACACCTCACCGGACGAGTCCATCTCGGCAAGGCCTGGCCCCGTCAGCGATGACGATGGGGCTGTCCCGACTCATAGGGCTTGCGCCGTCGTTGGAACCGTCCACGAGCCCGGCGCCATCGTTGGCTTGCGGGATGCTTGGTGACACTGAACTGGAAGGCATGAGACTCTCAGGTCTATCTTCTCGTTCTTCCAATTCGAGCAACCACGTCTCGTTCAAGCAGGCGGTCAACAGCCCGCTGAAGCATTTCGTCGGTTTCCCGCAGTTGTTTTTCTGTATGCTACCGTTTAGAACGCTTCAATCCCTATTTGACCACAAGACATCAACATGTTTTGCGCATGGCCACGTAATTGTACCTTGAATACATTATCTGAATTAACTGTTCGTATCTTAATACCACCGGTAATACCCAAGTCTTTATAGCAGTTCTAGAACGAGTGGGAGTAGAAACTGGTCGACGACTGATCCAGGACTGGTTAGCTGCTATTCAATAATAATTAATAGAAAACATACTTAGGTTGCTCAGGCCGAGCCGTGTTGTCATTGACCCGATCCATGATGCGTTGGTAAAAGGCTGTAAATTTGTGCCAACCGTGTCTTATTACCTGGTGCTCAGCCAGATCCGTGGCCTTCAGGTCGTTCAGACTGGTAACGAAGCAATTCTTTCAGGTATAAGGCAAAATCCTCGCGTACAGCCTGCGGGCAAGCTCAATTTCGAGGGCTTTTCGTTGACTTATACATGAATGTTGAAACATTGGCCCAGGTTAATACGCCAAAAAGTATGATGCTCATTGGGTTGATTGAAATGAAAGAGATAGTGGAAGGGGAGTATTATATAGAGCTTATACGGATGTGGTTAACTAACAATGTCATGGCGAAGTTGGAACAGGTAAGAAAGAGATATCGAGAGTTTATTACGTTGAGATTATCCACTCAGCTATTGCAGGCGCAAATCTTTCATTTGAAGGTTGGTAAAAGTTGAATGTGTGTAATAGCTTGAGGATGGGGAGAAAGGATAAGAAGGTAAAGATGATGGGGAACCGAAAAAAAACAAATTTATAGCAAGTTCCTCTCAGTTTGTCAAGGCAACTACAACAAAATGCTATTATAGCTGAGGAAAGTCCTTTACAGCTACCAGGAATGCAGTGCCTCACAAGTTGAAAGACCTTGAGCAGTAGCATCAAGAACTGCAGGAAGGAGTCCCCCGCCTACGTATATAGGTGGTAAGTTCGTTGGCAGGTGGTACTCAACTCACACTTAACAATTCACTTATTCGGTCTCTTGCGAGGGTAGGTGCTATCTACCAGCTTACTGACAGAACTTAGGTTGTGAGCAGACTCGCTACGCACTTGTTCGCTGTTTGGGGCGTTCTGCCCTTAAACGTCCATGACCACTTCCCATTTGATTTGTTTCCTAACTTCCTTAGTTCCTAGGTCGTAGGCGCCCCAATCATCTGCGAATGAAAGTGCTTCTGGCCCAGGTCGCAGTCGGTGAGATTGATCCCTGGATTTTTCTCGTTCACTGCCTATCCTCGCTGCGAGTTCTACAAGGGTAGTAGCCAAGTTATCTATATTTGCATACAGAAACACGATAGGTAGGTCGTCTCCTAAACGTAAGAACAGGTATTTCAATACTCCCTTCTTTCCCTGGTGCTTTTGATGCACCGTCAAGATTTTGGTAGCGGGCAAAGCCCTAAGCCAGACGTTGAAGGGATTTGACAAGAATTGACCTTGGAAATTGGGAAGACAAAGGATTTCCCTGAGCCTAACTGGTGGCATATTACTTGTAATTTTGGTAATTCCAAGTTGGGTTGTGAATGCTGTAACCCACCATAAGACTACACACTGTTAACATCAGGAGTAAAGAGGTAATCCAGAATAATACTCGAGGTACAGAATATATTGCCAGACGCCAGTTCACGTCAACGATACAGAATACCACGAGACTAGTATCTAGACAACTGCCGTATTAGGATGCCAAGCCAGATTACTTGAACATGATTGGGTGATTTACTGGTCAGTGGCGTTTGTTGCAAGGGCTTGGCCTTTGGGAGTGCTGAAGATTATTGACCCCCTGTCTCCGGGCAATTGCCTCCCTGCCTTGAAACACTTGAACCCCCAGCCATCCTTGGGGACATGGCAATAACAGCATGTCACGTTGGGGTAACGGATGTTGACTTCTCACGCAGCGAGGCATTAGTTATGGCCTGAAGGAGTCTGGAGCCAGGAACACAACTTTGATCTTACTGTAGTAGGTATTGGCTTGGTTCCGTATACAAGCAGTATAACTCCCATCACCAGGCTCAAAAGAGCAGGGCGGGGGATAGGTGAGTTGCAGCAACACCAATTAGCGCTGGGGTTACAGGACAGAAGAGGTCAAAATAGAGATACAAGAAACCACCATCGAAAGTCGCAAGTGAGAGCGCGTAGAAGCGAACCATACCTAGAGTAAGAGGGACGCACCAAAACTGACAAACTCCAGGTTCCTTATTCATGTCTTTCGCAGGAACCTCATCTCACATCAATCACGCCACAAGCCAACCATCACTTCTCTTCCTCTCCTCACACAGCCAACAACAACGAACAACCAGGAAATCCGCCCCCGTAGTCTAGAAGAGAAATTAAAAAAGAAGAAACTCCGAATCGGGGAATCGAACCCCGGGCTTGACGGACCTGACTTGCCTCCCCACGATATGTGAGAAGATGAGATGAGAGCGTCAAATGTTAGCCACTACACCAATTCGGACCAAAGTCAAACTCCAACTCAACCCAACACGACAATTTTCCCGATCATGATGGACTCGCGGGGAATCGAACCCCGGACCACTCCCATGCTAAGGGAGTATTATACCACTAAACCACAAGCCCCGGACTCGTGTGTTGAGTTGTTGTTGTTGTGTTGGTGGCTTGTGAAACGGGATTGATATAGTAGATTGAGTAGGTAGGCATTGTGTGTGTATGTGCGCTAGACTGACTCGTAATTAAGATGCGCTTATTTTTTTCGACCGGGATGTGTCCGGTTCGCTTTGCCCTGACTATCTCCCGACCGACTAGTAGGCCGAACTTATTGGAACTAAGTAGGTTAGACGGGGACGGGACGGTCCACTTGGTCCGCGATCGACGCCGTAACGTGCGCGGGCTGTAGACTGGGTAGGGGAAGTGAGAAGTGAGAAGAGGTCAAGATAGTGGCTGCTCCGGCATGTCCATTGCATAAGCAGGCTTCCGAGTGAGATTGACAGAACAGTAGAACACTGAAAACGTGCATTGTGAAAGGAAATCAAATCTCGTCTGATAGTTAATATTTTCTTGGCTGTAAAGTTTGTATAGGAAGATGTTAAGGCTTCTAGATCCCTCGTAAGTTGCCCTCTAGTCTAAGTAGTTACAAAGAATATAGGTAGACAATGGCAAAAGTAGCTTCAAATACTGTTGTGCTCAAATGGATAAATTTCAATGCCTGCCCCAAAGATCAACTGGGGGTTTATCGTATTGATCATTCTCCAGATCTAAAGCTGTGGCTCTCCTTATAGCAATCAAGCAACTTTTCAACAGACCAGTTGCCATGCGAGGGGCTTACTGTCTCGCCCATTTCATCAACAAATTCCGACTTAGCATATACAGAGCCGCCCCCTCCTACACTGGCTACCATAAATCAAATTCCTGTCTCTCTCTCCCTCTCCCTCTTTATTCGTCTCCAATCCGATAAAAGTGGCGGCGGCCAGGTCACGCACCCATCAACAATAGCCCGCTGATTCTCATCTAGTTTATACGTGCTGACATCCGCACGTAGTATCTCGGTGATGTCCCGTGAAAGCAGCAATGCATGGTCCTTCATGTTCGGGGTGGGAAAGCCATACTCCAGTAGACTCTGGATTTTATTCCAGGCCCCACCGCTAAGTTGTAGAATGACAGACTGCGAGCGTTGGGGTGCCTTGTACGGGGTGTCTTTGTAACCCGTGTCCGCTTCCGGATCAACACATACAAATCGAATGGGTTTTTGAAGGCCTACTTGGGACGAGCATGTTTTCCAGGGGTTCAGCTCTTTCAGAATTAGGTAGTCCTCCGCAGAGATAAGTGGAATGAGGCAATGACGTTGCCCAGCGAGACCGACGTGGAAGTCTAAATCACTCATGAGCGTGAGCAACAGTTCCGATGTGCGTAGTTGAGGCGTGTTCCCTATCCCATCGAGGATTCGCATTAATCTCCGTACAAAGTCTAACGAGAAACTGGCGCCCTGCGATTGCAAAATAGCAGAGTTGAACCTTGGACTCGGCAAGTGTAGATAGAAGCACAGTTGCGAGTTGGCTTGTGGTGACTCACTGGGTCCCATAACTCTTTCGCAGCCGACGTTGCCGAGCATTTCGACAATACAGTTGCGAAGTCCACGGGCTAGCCTATCCCTGAGCTCAAGAACGGTTTCATCGTAGGCCACATCCTCATCATAGGTCAAACATAATAAGTGGATGAGCAGAAGACTGCTTCGTGGCGGGTTCAGGATACGATCGAGACGCTCCAACAAATATTTCCATGTCTTTCTTTCGAAACATACAGTCCAGAACCTGAGGTTTCCGTCGCACATATCGATGCTGTCGCCAAGAGAAGGCACATAGAAAGAGGTACCGATGTGCTCAAGCGGCTCGAATCGTGTATACAAATGGTGCGCCTCGTCAAGGAGACTATGGACTCTCGCAGGATAGTCGGGTGACCAAGCAGTCAAAATGCTAAACAAGTCTTTAAGTCGAAAGAACGTCAACGAGGCAAGTAGACCTTTTTGAACTGCTAGGGAGGGAGCGGCCGCAATGTAACTTGAATATCTGCGGGCTATTCTCTGAAGAGTTGCGTCCCAGTTCAGCCTCGGGCCCAATCGCGTCAATTCTTCGGCTCCGTCGGCGAAGAAATCGAACGCAGACCTATGAATCCACCTTAGAGAACGTAGTTCGTATTTCAGCATAGCCGGCCGTGCTCCGTCACAAACATGCTGTCGGCGCTCGAAGTCCGTGAATCCAGGACCGAACCTAGGTGCGTCGCTGACAAATAGCAACGCATTGCGTCCCTTCCATATATCGTCATGACCTTCAAGAAAGTAATGATAACCTCGCTCCCAAGTAGGTGCTCTGTTACCTACTTCCAGAAAGCCCGCGCTTTGTGCAGCAATATGCAACTCCGTACGCCCACATTCAGTGGCGAACTCAGCATAAGATGTGATTTCTCCCTGTTCTGGTAACCGCAGTATCGTAAGCAATGGAACGGTTAGCATGTTAGAGAGCCCTCGGCGTTGAAATTGGAGCATAAGTTGAACATGGGCGGAAAAGGACTCCTTGTAGACGTCATCGACGCTCAAAAGGAGTCTCTTGAACAGCTCGTTGATATCCTTGGGTTGTGAGTCCAGGCGTTTCTGAAGCGTCTGCCAATCATCTCCGGCCAGGGCTCCCTTGACTAGCGATGCGGTAACTAGGACAGCCCACAAGAAGACACCTTGTGCGTGTTGAGCTACTTGAGTCGTTAACTGCAGACGCGGGTATTCCCTCAGCCGGGTTTTTTGGAGACGCTGCTTGACATACTTGTGTATATCGGCATAGTTGAGATGGTGCAAAGATAGCTGCTTTGAGTCCTGGAATCGGGCAGCAAGCTCAACCTCTGGCCGACTCGATACGCAGAGTTTGACGTTGTCGAGATCATGCAAGCGATCCATACACTCTATCAAGTGTGAATAATCTCCGTCGTACTCATCAAGCCCGTCGATGAATATGCAAAAGCGATGTTGTTTTCCGAATCGGATGGCCCCCACAATTTGCGACAATAGGTTTCGTTCTGTCCAGGTTGGTATCGCTTGGCCGGGAGACTTCAGCTGCGCATGTATAACGTCCACTAGTGCTGGCTGCTCACGACAGAGGCTGTATAGGAGACTGCGTAACAATCCCTGTACATTCCGTTGCAGCGGGGATCCAGCTCTCCAAAAGAAGAACGACGAGACTACCAACGTGCAGTCGCCTGCCCATGTTTCCAGTTCCTCGCACGTTCGTTTATCTCGGAGAATGTGCTTCATAAGAGTCGATTTCCCTGACCCGGGCTTCCCAGATATCCAATACGTTGAAGTTTCTCCTCGCAGCCATTGTGTGAAGTCAAAGCAGGGTGGCTCAAAAGGTAATACGTGGTTGTTGTTAAGAAGATGGGAACGGAGAGAGCCAGACTTGGAGAAAAGCCACTCCAAGGTATTGGGAGCTTACTCGCTGATGTCGCTATGCCGATTGTCGATTTCGGGGAACCACAAACTCTCTAAAAGCGCTGTATGAAGCCTCGAGCGCTCCTCCTTGCTCCGATGAAGCTGGATAGCCTCTTGAACCAGATCCAGTTTCTCTTTCAATACCATATTCTGGTCGGCCTGGGCTTCTTGATGTTCCGATAATTTGACGATGTAGCCCTGCAGATTTGATTCAAGAGACTTAAACTCCTGGCTTTGTTGTAAAGATAAATTTCCAATAGAGGACCTGTCAAATAATGTCAGACAGGTCTTGACAACCTTGAGCACCTGTGAGGCATGCTTACGCCAGACTCATTGATATCATCTGGTCCAAAGCAACTCGATTATTGGCTAGTGAGCTCCGGAGTTTCTCAATGCTCCCTCGCTTCCTGTAGAGACGCCAGCTTGCCCGAATGGGGCTGATATCCTGCCCATAGCCGCGGACATATTCTAGCATAGCCAAAAGGTCACTAGCCTGTGAATTGCACTTCGTGGTGAGCATGGCCACCGGATCAGCGATACCGCGCAGAGCAGGCAGTGCCCTGAGAATATCCTCGAGATCCTGTGCAGCTCGGATGTTGTCCTCGAGCTGACGGTTCCGCTCCATGCTACCCTCAGCACTGCTACTAATCTCTTGAAAAGCGCCGTACGCTTTGACTGTAAGACACGAACTGTCAGGGCCCAACTGTTGACACTCTGATTCAAAGGAAAGGGCTTGTGGCTCCCAAGGTACGTACGGGATGCGTCAAGAAATTGGAGAGCGGCTGCTGCCACCCCCAGCGCGGAAACAGGGTCCATGGAAATGAGACCTAATAGCTGGCTTTGCTTCTACTCATACCAGACTTCACACTGGATATCTTGACTTCTTGGGCGTGCGTGAATGCTGGACGGTATTCACGGGCAGTTGCCCCTCTTATGTTTGAGTGAGCTGGCAGACTGCTGCTGTCAAAAGGATGCCATGCCGCCACAATGAAGTAGCCTAGACTACAGCCCCACAGCCAATACCACGATGAAATACCATGTCGACTGTTAGCTGGTTGCATATAACGGTGCATAGAGGGTCACATCGCGTTGAGACCCCCGGCAACATGCTTCATACCTTCATCTGCTCTTTGGCCAGATAAGCCCACGGTGTTTTCGAATGATGTTTTCTTCGCAACTTGCGTGTGAACTTTGAAAGCCTAGCATTATCATGACTGTCCCGTCGAGATTTGTTACAGGAAAACTAGCCCACATCCTGTGTTAACAAAAGTTTCGAGTTTGCTGTATGAGAAGTACCTTGTCACTCGGGATGGCGTATGCAGGCCATGAGTATCCTTTAGGATGCCGAAAACAGACATGCTCTGCATTTCTCCCCTTCCTTCTTCGTGGAGGCTTACGTCGAGATACCCCTCTTCCCTGCAGTGGAACAGGAGTGGCTGTGATGCATTCAGCTCGCAGGGGTTCGGACGATTCCCCAGCCATGTTCTTGGATAACCCGGGAGGGGCCGAGCCGGGACAAATCATGA